TACGACGTGTTTGGAAGGTTGAAAATGATGTTGGGTATGAGAGCCCTAGGAAATTGGGTTTCAGGTGGGATGTTAGCTGTATAAACCCAATTTAATTCGGTAGTTTTGGTATTTTTGTGTTTGAGTTGTTTTTAAAATTTTTGACTTTATTTGTCATTAGTTGTAATTAGGTTATTTTAATATTTTTTGATTAGTGTCAAGGGGGGCATCCATTGGACCTTTTTTCTTGGCATTAGAAATCTGAAGGGACAGTCACTTGGCCTGCCCAGCTGAGTCGGTTTTGGCTAGAAAACAAGGATAGAAGCTGTGGAATTGCTCGCTTTGAAGGGTCGGTTTAGCTGCAGAAAACAGAGTATAAAAGGGTTTGATGGCAGCTGGAAAAGAGAGAACAGGAGAGCAATCTCGGCAGAGAGAAAACAGAGAGGGAAGAAGAGAGTTTCCTGCAGAAAATAGAGGGAGAAAAACTGTCTTTTGCTGGGATGAAAAACCAGCAGGTGTGCAAGAGCAGAAGCTCCAGTTTCTTAGATTAAGGTCATGTTTTTTTGTGTCTTTATTGCTTAAAATAGAGTAGAGTTTTTGGAGTGAATTTGTGTGGCAGACAACAGATTTTGTACCACTGTTTTGGTTTGTATTTGCTTTTGTTCCTCGAGTATTTGGTGAGATTATTGCTATTTTATATCCAACACAACTACTAAATATTCAACCCGAGCACTCAAAACCGAAACAATATGCTACTAAATGGTTGAAGAAAAGTCTCAACGTAGTGTGAAACTGTGCTAATTCTCCTGTGTGATTGTTCCCTATTTCTCTACACGTAGGAAATTTGATTTTGGTGCAAATTGATATATTACTATTACAACTAACAATCAAGGAGAAAAATCAACTGATATACCAAAGAACAACACGTCTATAGCATAGCCAAAGGTACCTAGAGAGATGGGAAGAAAATTCGAAAGATAAGGGGGCAACAAAAACCCCATATAAGGTGTGTCTGGATGACAGGGTTGGAGTAGATTGGATATCTATAAAAATATCTTTTCTTATCCGATTCAAACCTACCCTGAGTTAGAGTAGATTGGATTTAAATGAGTATTTTAAATTATTTCCACTTTTTTGGTAGCTCATAACACTTCTTTGAGCCCCATGGATAAGGGTAATATAATATGTTATCATTGATTATTATGTCCCCATCCAATCCAATCCATCATCATATTTAGTTTATAAATTAGCCTTCATTTCATTCCAAACAAAAAAATACACTTTTATATCAATTATTTTTACTGCTCATTAAAATATAAAATAAATATTTTTTAATATATTGTAATTTGCAACCATAAACACCAATTATTAATAGATAAAATATGGGTGTTCATATGTTAGTATTACAAAATGAAAGGAATGTGTATTACCTATTTTTTAAATTGTAAAATGAGTGTGAGAAATGGAGAGAGAGGAAGGAGAAGAAAGACGCTTCGACGTTGGAGAAATGAACTCAGACAGAAGAAGAACAAATTTGCTTTGGGCAAATATGTAATTTTTTGCACTTATCTGGATTTGTGTAAAACATATCCCAACCCCCTCACGGGTTTCATTTAACCCGTGTAAGTCGGTTAAAATTGACTTTTTAATCCAAGATAAAATTTGAATGGTGTTTCCGGTGTTTTTTAACTTATCAAACGTGTCCCACATATTTTTTTTATCATATCTTATCATAAGTATCTCCCTTTAACCCCTGATCCAAACATACCCATAGGGCTCGATTGGTTGCCATATTAAAAATAGATGGATTATATAAAATAATTCAGTCTAATACAATACAGCAGGACAAAAGATAAGATTAAATAGGGTATTAGAATAATAAGTAATTTTATCTAGTGTTTGACAATATACAACATAAACGTTGGATAGTAGTCATTTAATCCAATCGATTGTTTGGTTAAGAAATTATTTCATCGTGTTAATGTTCAATTAACAAAAATACTCTCAATCAATGTTTGTTACATTGATGACAACTTGATTTTATCTGTTGGAGGGTTATATTAGTAACTATGTAGAATAATACGTTTGAGTTAGATTATAATACCACCTCTTTTGGTGGTATTAAAATACTTCCATAATACAGGTCTATCGTATAAAAAATATACGATAAGTATATGATTAGTATATGTTTTTGAAATTAATGCGGTATCAAATTTGCTTACCAAACAAAATATTAGACCCGATTAAATAAAAAATAGTACAATCCAATATTTAATCCCCTCGTAATACATCTACCAAACGAGCCCATAGGGAATAAAAAAACATTAATCCTTGCCTAATGCTACAATAATCCTTTGACCTCCTAGTTGAGAGAATCAAAGTTGATCAACTAGTTTAGGCCAAATACATTGTATTTCCTTTCATATATACACGACAACACTCGTATTGGCTTCTAAACATCATGTTAGCAAGGGAGGGATATTTGGGTNCGACGTAGTGTGAAACTGTGCTAATTCTCCTGTGTGATTGTTCCCTATTTCTCAACACGTAGGAAATTTGATTTTGGTGCAAATTGATATATTACTATTACAACGAACAATCAAGGAGAAAAATCAACTGATATACCAAAGAACAACACGTCTATAGCATAGCCAAAGGTACCTAGAGAGATGGGAAGAAAATTCGAAAGATAAGGGGGCAACAAAAACCCCATATAAGGTGTGTCTGGATGACAGGGTTGGAGTAGATTGGATATCTATAAAAATATCTTTTCTTATCCGATTCAAACCTACCCTGAGTTAGAGTAGATTGGATTTAAATGAGTATTTTAAATTATTTCCACTTTTTTGGTAGCTCATAACACTTCTTTGAGCCCCATGGATAAGGGTAATATAATATGTTATCATTGATTATTATGTCCCCATCCNCAACGTAGTGTGAAACTGTGCTAATTCTCCTGTGTGATTGTTCCCTATTTCTCTACACGTAGGAAATTTGATTTTGGTGCAAATTGATATATTACTATTACAACTAACAATCAAGGAGAAAAATCAACTGATATACCAAAGAACAACACGTCTATAGCATAGCCAAAGGTACCTAGAGAGATGGGAAGAAAATTCGAAAGATAAGGGGGCAACAAAAACCCCATATAAGGTGTGTCTGGATGACAGGGTTGGAGTAGATTGGATATCTATAAAAATATCTTTTCTTATCCGATTCAAACCTACCCTGAGTTAGAGTAGATTGGATTTAAATGAGTATTTTAAATTATTTCCACTTTTTTGGTAGCTCATAACACTTCTTTGAGCCCCATGGATAAGGGTAATATAATATGTTATCATTGATTATTATGTCCCCATCCAATCCAATCCATCATCATATTTAGTTTATAAATTAGCCTTCATTTCATTCCAAACAAAAAAATACACTTTTATATCAATTATTTTTACTGCTCATTAAAATATAAAATAAATATTTTTTAATATATTGTAATTTGCAACCATAAACACCAATTATTAATAGATAAAATATGGGTGTTCATATGTTAGTATTACAAAATGAAAGGAATGTGTATTACCTATTTTTTAAATTGTAAAATGAGTGTGAGAAATGGAGAGAGAGGAAGGAGAAGAAAGACGCTTCGACGTTGGAGAAATGAACTCAGACAGAAGAAGAACAAATTTGCTTTGGGCAAATATGTAATTTTTTGCACTTATCTGGATTTGTGTAAAACATATCCCAACCCCCTCACGGGTTTCATTTAACCCGTGTAAGTCGGTTAAAATTGACTTTTTAATCCAAGATAAAATTTGAATGGTGTTTCCGGTGTTTTTTAACTTATCAAACGTGTCCCACATATTTTTTTTATCATATCTTATCATAAGTATCTCCCTTTAACCCCTGATCCAAACATACCCATAGGGCTCGATTGGTTGCCATATTAAAAATAGATGGATTATATAAAATAATTCAGTCTAATACAATACAGCAGGACAAAAGATAAGATTAAATAGGGTATTAGAATAATAAGTAATTTTATCTAGTGTTTGACAATATACAACATAAACGTTGGATAGTAGTCATTTAATCCAATCGATTGTTTGGTTAAGAAATTATTTCATCGTGTTAATGTTCAATTAACAAAAATACTCTCAATCAATGTTTGTTACATTGATGACAACTTGATTTTATCTGTTGGAGGGTTATATTAGTAACTATGTAGAATAATACGTTTGAGTTAGATTATAATACCACCTCTTTTGGTGGTATTAAAATACTTCCATAATACAGGTCTATCGTATAAAAAATATACGATAAGTATATGATTAGTATATGTTTTTGAAATTAATGCGGTATCAAATTTGCTTACCAAACAAAATATTAGACCCGATTAAATAAAAAATAGTACAATCCAATATTTAATCCCCTCGTAATACATCTACCAAACGAGCCCATAGGGAATAAAAAAACATTAATCCTTGCCTAATGCTACAATAATCATTTGACCTCCTAGTTGAGAGAATCAAAGTTGATCAACTAGTTTAGGCCAAATACATTGTATTTCCTTTCATATATACATGACAACACTCGTATTGGCTTCTAAACATCATGTTAGCAAGGGAGGGATATTTGGGTTCGATGGATTTTATGGAAATTTCCAGATTATAGATCAAGAAGAAAGGTCTGATCACTATCTGAAAAGAAAATTTTACATGAAAAAACACCATGTGAGCATATCCTTTAGTTAATCTTTGACTGCAAAATACATACAATTCAAACGAGAAACTCCTTACGGAATGAACAATGAGGTGTCGGATATGATAAGAATTTACCTTGACAATGGGTTAATTATATGGCCAAATGGGTGTCCACGTACCAATTCTCTTCAAAAATTCAGGCTTCTTTGTTCAACAAAACCATCTTTCAATGTGCACGTTCATACTTCAACCTCCTCTATAAATACCAGCCCTTGTGTTATATTCATAAAACCATACCCAATACCAAACATCGACACCAAAATGTATACTACATCACGCATATTGTTTTCATGGCTTCTCTTTGCCTTCACAACAATCCCTTTGTTCTCTGCACAGAATAACTCTTTCGATCCGGTGCTTGATACTGCCGGTAAGGAGGTCCTGAGAGGTGCTGAATATTACATATTGCCTGCTATCCGTGGCAATGGCGGTGGATTCATACTAGCTAGTGGTAGAAACCAGACCTGCCCACTTAATATTGTGCAAGACCCGAACGAGACCAACGACGGCCTCCCCCTTTTGTTTTCCCCAGTGACCAACGACAGTGTGGTCCGAGTAACCACTGACCTCAACATCAAATTCTCGATTGATCAAGAGTGTAACCAATCTACAGTGTGGAGGTTTGAGGCCAATGGGCAAGAGCCAGGGCCATATTTCGTGACACTTGGTGGAGTTGAAGGAAACCCTGGTCGTGAAACCATAACCAACTGGTTTGCAATTGAGAAATTTGAAGATGCCTACAAAATTCAATACTGTCCAAATGTGTGTGATACTTGTAGGGTTATCTGTGGGGACATTGGTGTTGTTGTTGACGATGGAAGAAGACGTTTGGCTCTGATTGATCAACCATTCAAGGTCATCTTTAAGAAGGCCTAGAGGTTTTTCTAAAAGCAGCACAAATAATACTATAGTGTTCTTGAATAATGGCTTTGTATTGTAATGAAGAAACTAGCTGGCTTCCTGTCATTTTGCAATAAAGGCAAAGAGTTCAATATTGTCTTTGCATGAAATTCTACTTGCATTTCTTGTAGTAGTTTTCATCCCCTCTGTCTTGTTTTAGGTGTTGGATGTTTTTGTCTCCGACAAACTAGTCGGTCGAGATCACTGATAAATGAAAGATTTCGTAGTTCGTTTTAGACTCTTTCAAGCTCATTCCCATCTAAATATGAACCAAATCGGAAAAAAAAAAATGTCTCATGTTTACGCCAACTGAACCGAGCTATAGAAAAAAATGGGGTATCTCCTGATGAATTCTTCAAAAAGCAAATATTGACCACAGTCTGGCAACCCGCTTTGCTAATACATAGATGGATTTTAATCCTGGGTCGTTTGGTTACCGTATTAAAAGGTACATTAAAGAGTCATAATAAATTAAAACTTTCTAATCCAATTTTATACTACATTTGGTTGTAAAAAATATTTCTTATTATATATAGTCTTATTTTAAATACTTATCCAAATCATACACTCTATCTGTACTGTTGAACTGATTTTAATACCACCTGGGGAGGGTATATTATAGTCTGATTCAAGCATATTAAGTTATAAATTTACTATTTTACCTACCAAATAAATAAAAACATTAATAACTAGATAAGATTCATGATTTTTCTTTCAATATATAATTAAGACTATCATTCCACCCTTATTCAGCGTCTTACCAAATATTAGATTACAAATGAATATTAATTTTATCTCATACTTAATCTCGTGTTTTATCTGCCATACAAAATTAGTCAGTATTAATTAATACAATTATTTCTTTTACTATACGACAACCAAACCAACACTAAATATACTATATATTTCAAATGACGTTTCTAAGTTTGAAAGTTCAAATTATTTTCTAGAAATCTTATTGTAGTTGAGATGAGAGATTGTGTGCGTTGGGCTCAACCAAGAAGCAGGGCNGACCAACGACGGCCTCCCCCTTTTGTTTTCCCCTGTGACCAACGACAGTGTGGTCCGAGTAACCACTGACCTCAACATCAAATTCTCGATTGATCAAGTGTGTAACCAATCTACAGTGTGGAGGTTTGAGGCCAATGGGCAAGAGCCAGGGCCATATTTCGTGACACTTGGTGGAGTTGAAGGAAACCCTGGTCGTGAAACCATAACCAACTGGTTTGCAATTGAGAAATTTGAAGATGCCTACAAAATTCAATACTGTCCAAATGTGTGTGATACTTGTAGGGTTATCTGTGGGGACATTGGTGTTGTTGTTGACGATGGAAGAAGACGTTTGGCTCTGATTGATCAACCATTCAAGGTCATCTTTAAGAAGGCCTAGAGGTTTTTCTAAAAGCAGCACAAATAATACTATAGTGTTCTTGAATAATGGCTTTGTATTGTAATGAAGAAACTAGCTGGCTTCCTGTCATTTTGCAATAAAGGCAAAGAGTTCAATATTGTCTTTGCATGAAATTCNAGGAGCTTAGGAAATTATGAAGGACGGATATTTCGTTAAAGTTGACGTATTTGTATTGGATATATATCGAATACGTAATATATGTATCCAATAATTAATAAAATATATGGATACTTTTTGAATATTTCTAAACATGGAGCAAGATGTACAATTTTTAATTTTAATCTATTAAATACTAATAAAATAAAAAATAAATTTTATTATAAATATATCCTAATAATAGCCTGTATCCTTTTTTTAAAGATTTGTTGTATTGTTGTATCTATAGCGTATCGTATCCGTATTACGTATCTGTATCCGTGCTTTCTAGATAAAAAATAATATAATTTTTATTCAAAAAAAATAAAAGACCAAAAATATGGACCAAATGATGTAACTATACAACAATGATACTTTGGATCCCACTTTTATTCACTATATATTTAATATTTATTTATTATTTGAGCTGCCACATCATTTGANTATACTTTCCCAATTCTACTTGCATTTCTTGTAGTAGTTTTCATCCCCTCTGTCTTGTTTTAGGTGTTGGATGTTTTTGTCTCCGACAAACTAGTCGGTCGAGATCACTGATAAATGAAAGATTTCGTAGTTCGTTTTAGACTCTTTCAAGCTCATTCCCATCTAAATATGAACCAAATCGGAAAAAAAAAAATGTCTCATGTTTACGCCAACTGAACCGAGCTATAGAAAAAAATGGGGTATCTCCTGATGAATTCTTCAAAAAGCAAATATTGACCACAGTCTGGCAACCCGCTTTGCTAATACATAGATGGATTTTAATCCTGGGTCGTTTGGTTACCGTATTAAANAGGGTATCAAAATCAAAATAAGATTTCGTAGCTAATACATATCAAAATCAAAATAGGGTATCTCCTGATGAATTCTTCAAAAAGCAAATATTGACCACAGTCTGGCAACCCGCTTTGCTAATACATAGATGGATTTTAATCCTGGGTCGTTTGGTTACCGTATTAAAAGGTACATTAAAGAGTCATAATAAATTAAAACTTTCTAATCCAATTTTATACTACATTTGGTTGTAAAAAATATTTCTTATTATATATAGTCTTATTTTAAATACTTATCCAAATCATACACTCTATCTGTACTGTTGAACTGATTTTAATACCACCTGGGGAGGGTATATTATAGTCTGATTCAAGCATATTAAGTTATAAATTTACTATTTTACCTACCAAATAAATAAAAACATTAATAACTAGATAAGATTCATGATTTTTCTTTCNGGATATTATAGTCTAATTCAAGCATATTAAGTTATAAATTTACTATTTTACCTACCAAACAAATAAAAACATTAATAACTAGATAAAATTCATGATTTTTCTGTCAATATATAATTAAGACTATCATTCCACCCTTATTCAGCGTCTTACCAAATATTAGATTACAAATGAATATTAACTTTATCTCATACTTAATCTCGTGTTTTATCTGCCATACAAAATTAGTCAGTATTAACTAATACAATTATTTCTTTTACTATATGACAACCAAACCAACACTAAATATACTATATATTTCAAATGACGTTTCTAAGTTTGAATGTTCAAATTATTTTCTAGAAAACTTATTGTAGTTGAGATGAGAGATTGTGTGCGTTGGGCTCAACCAAGAAGCAGGGCAAAAAACCTGAATTAAACGGTCCTAAAAGAAGTGTAGGCCAGCCCATGGGTCATCAAGGTTAGAGGAAAGCCCAAGCCCAAGCCCATCTGAAGAGCACTAAAAGTGGACGAGCTTAGGAAATTATGAAGGACGGATATTTCGTTAAAGTTGACGTATTTGTATTGAATATATATCGAATACGTAATATATGTATCCAATAATTAATAAAATATATGGATATTTTTTGAATATTTCTAAACATAGAGCAAGATGTACAATTTTTAATTTTAATCTATTAAATACTAATAAAATAAAAAATAAATTTTATTATAGATATATCCTAATAATAGCCCGTATCCTTTTTTTAAAGATTTGTTGTATTGTTGTATCTATAGCGTATCGTACCCGTATTACGTATCTGTATCCGTGCTTTCTAGATAAAAAATAATATAATTTTTTTTCAAAAAAAATAAAAGACCAAAAATATGGACCAAATGATGTAGCTATGCAACAATGATACTTTGGATCCCACTTTTATTCACTATATATTTAATATTTATTTATTATTTGAGCTGCCACATCATTTGAACTCTATTTTGTTCTAATTTCTCGTTCAATCTAGCATTACCCTTTAGTATAAAGTTGGATAATTTTTTAGAGAACAATGAAGAAAAGAGCCATAAGTCAAAATAATTAATATACAAATAAATTTCTAGCCCTGCAAATAAAAAAGCTAAAATGAAAACATGAACATTGGGCTAGACTTCCCACATACCTTAGTGCTTGGCCCATGCTCATATCAAACATCTTCAGCAGAGCAGGACTCTAACCCGCATCAAACACCTCCTCTTCCTCAGGTCTGATCCTGAGAAAGCAGTCTTAGAAGCGATGCTTTGATTCTTTGGATTATAATCTATTTTCAAATATATATACTTTGTATCTACTAGTTGATGTACACATGCACGTTGACCATTTTTTAGTATCATATTTTATAAGGTATTATTCTTTTAACATAAATTACAATGTATTTTCATGGGTGAAAGATTCATAGTAAGCACATAAACCACAACACATTAACAGTTATGAAGACCTTTTTGTCCATTTTAATCTGTATATTTCCAATTTCCTAATTCGATGCACCTAAGACTTTAATTTGACAAACAAAACCATAACCTTGACTCAAACAAAATTATAAATTACAAAGATAACATCAAATTCCCCGTCCTCTTTTTAGGGTAAATCATAAAAGCAAATCCAAGAGCTTGTAAAACCTCAAGCTATGGCAAAAGTTAAAATTGATCATGTGTGTAAACACAAAGGAATACCACTGTGTGAAAATCTTTTAATGAACTATAAAGATACACATCCCTTACCTTTTAAAACCATGAGAGGCTAATCAAAGCATTACCCTATTCCTCTTAGAAAGTGTTGAAACATCTCAACCATTAGCACATCAGACTCCAAATCCAATGTGATTGCACATGATCTGATTTTGGGCACAGGCTCAAGAATCAGACACTCTTATTCTAAAAAGAAAATATAATTAGCTAGAATGTATAGCACAAAAAAGAACGTTACTGAACGGGTATGAAAAAGTTAAAATTGACAGTTGTTAAAGTTATGGTTCTTTTACAGTTATTACATCAAACTTAGATTTTTATACACAAAACAACAAAAATATATTTTTTTACTCAAGAGGCCAGAAAATTTAACCCCTTTGATCTCCTTTAAGTAACTGTAAATTCAAAATGGTGGTGGCTCAAATATTTTTCTAAGGTGAAAAAACAAAAAGGATCATTGTTGAATGTACTATAGGTATAACTTTTGCCTAATCCCTGGTTAAGTATTTTTGCGAGTCACCCATGAGAGGCATAACATTAACATAGGCTAGATCATTGTGGGTTCCTCTCATCTGATCCCTAAAAACCTCTCTCAATGGATGCATAACAGCATCAAAGACATTTTCTTAAACTACATTAACTGTATAATANTCTTGCGAGTCACCCATGAGAGGCATAACATTAACATAGGCTAGATCCTTGTGGGTTCCTCTCATCTGATCCCTAAAAACCTCTCTGAATGGATGCATAACAGCATCAAAGACATTTTCTTAAACTACATTAACTGTATAATACCATCCACCAATTTTTTACAACTTAACTTCATAAAGAACATCTTGGAGGTTTTACGTGGACTATCACCTATGACCTACCTAAAGTAACTCTACTCATCTTTAGGCTTGAGTTCACTTATTCTGAATGTAAGCATAACATTAACATAAGCTAGTTTTTTTTTTGGCTATGTATGTAAACTCTGTCGTGTGCTCTCCTCACCTTCATCAGATTTTGTTTTGTTGTTATTGTTCTTTTGCATGTAGGACGGTCGGGATTGATTACACTGATCCAAAGACGGTGCTTTCTGAGTAATTTGTTAGTACCTGTTTTAATTGCACATGGCTAACTTTATTCTCTTTAGTTGATCAGATAATTGATTTCTTCCTAATTATTTACACAAAGTGAGGTTGGCTATGTGCAAAGAAGCACTCTTCTACAAACTTAGAAACTAAATTGTAGTACATTGCTCGAAAAGAAGATACTGCCTAGGACTGGTTGTCTTGTTAGCTTATGTTATGGAAGGCTTACAGGTTTAGGATTTTAGCAATTGCAAGTAGGGCTATAAGATGAACAAAAGTTACTTGTGCTCGGCGTGAATTGACTCGTTTGAGATCAGTTTGCTTGATAAATAAGCCAAGTGTTGGTACATTTTTAAGCTCGTTAAGTTCATGCGCTCGACTTCAACTTGATTCAATAAGCTAATTACCATCAAAAGAATTGTAAAAAAATGTGGCTACTCAAATTCAGCATGGGATCAGTTTGACAAAAGGTCATTTAAGATCAGCTCATAAGATATGATCTTCAGATTTATTAGAGGCTCGATAGGGTACTGGATCTTAAATATGATGCACACGCCAGTGTTAAACTACATGCGAGTAACCTACAACATGCTAGATTATCTTAATAAATTATGACATATAACTATATTAAACAAAAACTTGATTCATGACTCGAAAGTATCAAGTTGATTCTATCTTGAAAATAAATTTTTTTGCAAGATTTTCACCTAAAACTACTTGAACAAGACATCTTCCCCATATGTATCATACAGGTAAATGTGTTTTGGTGACAATTTTATAGACAAATTTCTTGGCTTCTTATGATTTTCCACACCAAATAGGAGAAACAATAACCTTATTATTTGAGTATGGAGTTAGAAGCAACACAATTTTCCTCTCTTTCTCTATCTTCAAAAATCTGTGCAAGCGTGTAAGAGGAGGTGTTTGTTTCCCATCATCAAAATACCTCAGCTTTTATTTCTTTGTCTTCCATTTATTTCCCATAAATCTAATACATCACTTTTGGCATCCCCACTTCTCCCCTTTCCCTCCACCTTTCTCTCTCTATTTCTCTCTCTACCTTCCCAACTTGCCAGAAAATCAGTCAACCAACCATTATCTAGCACTTCCAATCCATTCTAAGCGAACAAGTGAATATCGAAATGAAAATGGGTAAAGTAACAAAGTATGTATTAACACAAAACAATGAGTTAGTTTGTGAATCACAGATTAAACCATTCATAATTGAACACAAAGACCCAAATGCCTACAACTAAACAAGCAAGGAGTTGATCTCAAAATTAGTATTTTTTTTTTGTTTATGATATTAGGATAATAAAATGGTGTACTCAGTATACGAGACTGTCGTCATTGTGGGGTCTGACAAGAGTTAAATATATGGAGTTTTACCCTTGCTAACGTCCAAGTCATAATGGAACAACCATACTATTTGTGTGGCTCTCTAAGGAAGAAGCAAATTAAATTGATCGCTGAAGGGATTAAAAAACTTGTAATTAAAAAATATAGAAATTACCTGAGCTGAAATACCAACCAAAAGATTCAAACTTTATTTTTCCTGTTTTTTCCTTTTTCACAACTTTCTCACAAACTAGTTCATACCATTTCAATCACATCAGATGTAGCTAATAATACAACGAAACAGGAGAATTCATAAAATAGGATCAAAAAATTCAATTAATCAGAAATTAACAGACTCCGATTAATTAATCGATAAATAAAGAAATTAAAATTACCTATAATTTTTTCGACGATGACAATTTTTTAATAATAGGCAACCTCCATGTAAACTAAACTCAGTAGCCCCAATACAATGTTAAATTAGAAATTTCACCTTAATCTTGTTTACAAAACTTATAGCCTCTTCAAACTCAATTCTCTTTGGAGGAGCTTCTTCATCATCAGTCAGGGTGCTTTCATAATCCTTTGGCAAGAAGGTATTAAAACCATAAATGAGATTATTGTGCCTTTCAAATAATTCTTTCACCCTCGCTATGACTCTAGTAGTGTCGATCCTGCAATAAATAAGTCGCCAAGATGAATTAACAGTGTTTCATGCAATGCCCTATTTTACCATCTTAGCCCCAGTATGGAGATAGAATATACCTTTGAGCCTTAAAATCTTTCATTACGGCAAGGAACATATCATACTTCTCCCTCTGATCGTGAAACATGTCCTTAACTTCCTTCAAATACGTTAGTGCATCATTGGTTGTGAGTCTTGTATTGCCACCACTAGTACCTCCTCCTCCTACTCCACTACCATGGCCACCGATGCCTCCTCCAGGGACTTGTGGTTGCCCATAGCTTCACTGCTACAAAAATAGGGATTTAAAGTCAAATTCTGAGAAAAATAATTCCTATAGAATAAAACACACATTGACACCACAACTGCTATGAAATGCAAATGCAAATTCTCTACATCCATTTTGTACATAACTGCTACTCGTTGGTATCGTTGCACATTTTTTATGAGGATACAACCTAATCACAGTTTCTTATATAGATGACAAAAGGGGTATTTTCGTCTCAAAACATGATATAGCAACTAAATTCCAATAAATCAATAGGCAATTAACATCAACATCAACCAAAAAGTACCATGAAAATCAACCCAGATGAGAAATATAGGCTTTGTTTGATTTGCATCTNTTATTATTTTTTAGGTTACTGTACAAATAAGTTTTAATGTTTTTCATTTTGTAAAACTTTTTTTTGAATTATATAACTAAATAAGTTTTATGACAAAAAATACTAAAAACAGTTTTCGGATACTGTTTGTTGAGACGTAAACCAAACAAGGCTATAATCTACCAAACTCAACATACAATACCAAAGGAAAATTTTTCATCGTATATTACCATTTTTTTTCTTTTCGTTTGTAAGTTTGTTTTTTTGATATTAGAGCAACTTAGAAATATGATGGGGGATGTGTGAAGAACCAAAAGATAAATAAAAGAGCAAAGTAACAAATTTACTTGAAGCAATGTATGATCGTAGTCTTACATCCATAGGTAGGAACGAAAAATAGAAACCTCCTTNCAAGTTATTTTTTGTTTTTATTTTTTAAAAACAGAGAACAAAATCTGGGTAGATTTTGAGTGCGTTTAGTAACGTTTTTGTTTTTGTTTTTATATTTTTTTTATAAACAAAACAGAATTAGTTTTTGTTCTTTTTATGATAAAAATTAAAAATATAAAACATGTTTGGTAGTAATTTATATTAGTTAATATTTTAATCTCAAATATTACTGGTGATCCCTCGCAAATGTTCTTTGTGATCAAACTAAAATAAAAAATAAAAAAATGGAGATGCTCTTGTTGACACTCACAGGCGAGATCCATTTGCTGGAACATGTATACACACACACAAAGGATACACACAGACACACACATATACATACACACACACACATATACACAGATCTCTATATACAGCACACAAACACAAATAAACACACACATGTAGATCTATGTAAAAATAACATCATATATGTAGATCTATGCATATATATATATATATATATATATATATATATANCCTTTTTCACAACTTTCTCACAAACTAGTTCATACCATTTCAATCACATCAGATGTAGCTAATAATACAACGAAACAGGAGAATTCATAAAATAGGATCAAAAAATTCAATTAATCAGAAATTAACAGACTCCGATTAATTAATCGATAAATAAAGAAATTAAAATTACCTATAATTTTTTCGACGATGACAAATTTTTAATAATAGGCAACCTCCATGTAAACTAAACTCAGTAGCCCCAATAAAATGTTAAAATAGAAATTTCACCTTAATCTTGTTTACAAAACTTATAGCCTCTACAAACTCAATTCTCTTTGGAGGAGCTTCTTCATCATCAGTCAGGCTGCTTTCATAATCCTTTGGCAAGAAGGTATTAAAACCATAAATGAGATTATTGTGCCTTTCAAATAATTCTTTCACCCTCGCTATGACTCTAGTAGTATCGATCGTGCAATAAATAAGTCGCCAAGATGAATTAACAGTGTTTCATGCAATGCCCTATTTTACCATCTTAGCCCCAGTATGGGGATAGAATATACCTTTGAGCCTTAAAATCTTTCATTACGGCAAGGAACATATCATACTTCTCCCTCTGATCGTGAAACATGTCCTTAACTTCCTTCAAATACGTTAGTGCATCATTGGTTGTGAGTCTTGTATTGCCACCACTAGTACCTCCTCCTCCTACTCCACTACCATGGCCACCGATGCCTCCTCCAGGGACTTGTGGTTGCCCATAGCTTCACTGCTAGAAAAATAGGGATTTAAAGTCAAATTCTGAGAAAAATAATTCCTATAGAATAAAACACACATTGACACCACAACTGCTATGAAATGCAAATGCAAATTCTCTACATCCATTTTGTACATAACTGCTACTCGTTGGTATCGTTGCACATTTTTTATGAGGATACAACCTAATCACAGTTTCTTATATAGATGACAAAAGGGGTATTTTCGTCTCAAAACATGATATAGCAACTAAATTCCAATAAATCAATAGGCAATTAACATCAACATCAACCAAAAAGTACCATGAAAATCAACCCAGATGAGAAATATAGGCTTTGTTTGATTTGCATCTCATAAACTCTTTTCTATCTTTGAANATAAATTTTGATTCTCTTTCATATTCAATTTGAGAACCTATACAAAGTTTGAGAAGGAGAGAGACAAAGAGACTAACATTTGAAAAATAGGGAAATAGACAATGAACGGGTGAGATAGGGAAATAAGTGGAGGTTATGATTAGGTTTAACGTGACATTAATTGGGTAGGATAAAGATGGCATAGTTGTGTTGTTGGAGGATAAAAATGGGAAAAATAAGTTTTTTAACAATATTAGTATTTTAAAGTAATATAGATAAATATGCATCAATACAATAACGTTCTAAGTGTGCAAATACACCAAAACTTCTATATCATTTCATGGTATCAAAGCAATAGAGCTCACGCCTTTTCAATCCTATTTCTTTTTTGATTCTTATTTCTGTTTAAGTATTTTTCATGGCTTCTTCTTCAGAGAATGCTTCCGCCTCTATCTTTGTTGCTCCCAATATTGGCCAATTAATTTCAATCAAGCTAGATGGCAAAAACTTCCTCCAATAGTTGTCTTAATATGTGTTAGTCTTAAAATAAAATGATCTTCATGAGCTACGTAGATGGTTTCGAACCATGCCCAGATCAATTTTTTCCTTTGATGGCTGGCAAAACAACTTGTGATTTAATCCCAACATAGTTGTTATGGAACAAAAAAGACCAATTCGTTCCAATCTCTATGTATATGGTCTCACCATTGCAAAGCAAGCATGGAATTCCTTATCCACTCGGTTTGCTTTTCAATCTCGTTCTCGGATCAATCTCCTCCAATGCCAACTATGTGGTTTACGTCAGGTAAATCGTTCTTGCTCAAAATATCTTGCTTATTCAAAAGGACTAGTTAATCAACTCGATACTGTTGGCAAACATGTTGGTGAATATGATCTTGTCTACTCTTTTTGAGTGGACTGAACTCTGATTTTATTCCCTTCTAGAATTNAGATGATCTTGTCCACTCTTTTTGAGTGGACTGAACTCTGATTTTATTCCCTTCTAGAATTCGATCAACATTGCGACTTGAGATAAGAGCTTGTCATTTTTAGATTTTCAAGTCGAATTAATTTCCTTTGAGATTCTTCTTAAATCTCATTACCGAACCATCCCACCTGAAAACTCTTTTCCTCTTATTGCTCGTCAATCTCCTTAATAATTTTTGTGCCACAACAACAAGTAGAAGCCTGCCTTTAAGACGTTTTCCTCCACTGTTGGATCCTCCTCCATAGAGTAACCTACTGCTCCTATATCAACTGAATAGGAAACTTGTCAAATTTTTGGCGAATTGATCCATAGAGCATTGGATTGTTATCATATGTTCGATTTTGCATATTAGGGAAGACATCCTCCTCAATCTCTTGCAGCAATGGCTACTCAAAACAATACTGCATCAATGATTATCGTCAATGGTACTTCTAGTGGTGAGGCATGGTTTATAGATATCGGGACTAATNTTAATGATTATTGTCAATGGTACTTCTAGTGGTGAGGCATGGTTTATAGATATCGGGACTAATACCCATATTGCTACGAATCTTGAATAACCCTCACTTGTATAGCCTTACAATGGAAAAGAAAATCGCATTATTGAAAATGACACCAACTTGGACATAAATAACATGGATTCAATTCTTATTTCATCAATTTTTCCATGTCATGTGTTTTCCACTATTCCATAGTCTTTGCTAATATATTGTCAATCAATCAATTTTGTGTTGATAATAACTATTTTTTTTTATTTGAACTGATTCTCATTATTCCATTCATGAAACATAGATGAGAAAGATCTTGTTAAAAGGCCAGATTGAAGGCTAACTTTATCCCATTCGCCTACATCAATATACTCTTATCAAACACAATAATCCCGTAACTCTTCTTGGTGTCAAGGCTTCCATTTCAATTTGGCATTCAACATTAGGTCACCCATGTCATCCTTTAGTTTCTAGAATAATTAAAGACCACTGTCTTCCTGTTAGTGGTTTCTTGAATAAAGTAGGTGTTTGTGCTCCTTGGCAACTTGGCAATAGTAAACAACTTCCTTTTGTTGCATCTACTATAATTTTCACTTCTCCTCTTGAATTTATTCATATGAATGTATCATCTTGTTCCACCTGCTCAATTGGTAGTTGTTTGTCATATGTTATATTTATTGATGATTTTTCATGATTCACTTGGATGTATCCATTGCAATCAAAAGCTGATGTGCATTCTTGTTTCATTAAATTCAGACTTTTGGTTGAAAATCAATTCTCCACTAAAATTAAATAGTTTCAATATGATAATGGTGGCTGTTGAAAAGGAATAAACAAAGAAAAATTCAAAAGATACAAAGTTCTTGTGCCTATGTTATCAAAAGAATATATTAAATACTTGTTGCATATGTTAAATGTAATCGAGAATTACCTACGAAATGGGCACTAGTTTACTTGTTTTGAGTTTTTAGGTAGTTATTTTTATATCTTGAGTTGATGTTGGAATTTCTTGAGTCGCTTTGATTGCTAGGGACTAGTAATATGCTGGTTGGAGGTTTGATAATGATTGAAAATTGCACTATTCTATAAGTTTAGATAAGTATTATTGCACCCGTTTTCACTTATTTTAAGCATATTATTGCATATTAAAAAAGCTCTAATATTTTCAGCTTATTAGGCTTGATTTTATTCAATAGGTTAAAAGCGTATTTATTGTGGTAGTCTCTTTTAAAGGAGATTTAAGTCCAACCACTTCTTTTGAAAGTCTAAAGGATTGAAGGGTCAAAATCTAAAGATGAAGAAAAATAAAATTCAGAAATTTAAGCCTAGTGGGAGTGCAAATTAGTAGTAAACTTATTTATAGTTAGATTGAGAACGGATTCTATAACATAAGGTTTTGAAAGATCTTCAGTAATTTGGTCATAACTTTTGACTCCAATATCGGATTAAGGAGATTTTTGTTGATCTAAAAAGAACACTTCAAGATCTAAAACTTTGTATTTAACGAAATGTTCGTGAATCTCACTTCTACTATGTAAAAATCAGGTTGGAAGTTGCTTGATGTTGGGAAGACAATATTGGATAGATTTGGGTTTCTTAATTTATTTTGATTTTGGTCTACTTGTCAAATTCTTGTTTACAATATATATAGGGATAGATAGAGACAAAATTGGGAGTCCTAAGATCCTTTATCTACTCCATCTAATTTTTTATTTGTTTTCTTGTCTATGGATTGCTAAATCACCAATTAAAGCTTGGGGTGACTCTTTCAATAAAAAACAGTATGTATTTTGATCTGTTCTTTTTTAATGCATGATTTTTCTTATTATTTGATTCTTTTGTTTTACTATAGTTTTTGCAATATAAAATCTCTTGAATCGTTATGCCACATATATTGAATGCTTTAAATTCCATGCGAGTATGTTTCCTACAAATAATTGATTTCTTACTTGTCATAAATAGATGTCTTAACTGTTGGAAAGCTTGATTCATCATCAACTTTGGGCATGGTGAATGCTTGTGATCTCCAATTAAATACTAATTTTTATCCAATCAAGTTGTCACTTTGGATTTGTTTGCAATGTTATTACCGCTAAGTCATTCGATTAAGATCAATTCTCAATTGATTTTTAATTGAGTTCGAAAATCAAATCAAGAATAAATATTGTATAGAGTGAAAAGATGATCATTGATGCTTTAGTATCCTCAAATATTATTTTTAAACCAAAATTAATTAGTTCCTTTAAATCCAATTCACTCAAAGCCTTCAAAGTAATTTTTATTTTCACTTTTAATTTCTTTGTGTTCCTACTTTCACCAATTCTCTATGGTACGATCTTAGACTCCCAATAAATTTATTACTTCACACAACATGCACATAGGTGATCAATTATAAAGTTGTACCAGAGACTGTAGTGGGTTTCATTGAGTTTGTAAGTATTTGGGTGGCTTAGTAGTCTTCAGACTTGGATACTGAATTTGGATGGCGAGAGTAAATCGATCTTTAGGATGATGAACACTCCACTGCATGACACTTTATGTATTTGATTTTCTCTTATCAGCCTATTTCAATATTGTATTTCTTTCACAGTATAGCTATTTATCAACATATCTATGTTAAATTCCCAATCACTATAAAGTATGCTATTTTCATACTTGTTAATTTTGAAAATTGCATACCTAACTATGCTATGTCTGTTGTTGTGTTTCCTAATAGCTTCTGTAACAAGCTTAATGGTTATGTCCGGCGTTTTTGGTGGAAGGGGTCTATGGAGGGTAATGAGATATCTTGGAAGAAGTGGGAGAAAATGACGGAATCCAAGAAGGCTGGTGGCATGAGATTCAAGGATTTCAAGTTATTGAATCAGGCTCTCCTAGCTAAACAAGGATGGAGACTCTTGTCTCAACCTGATTCCTTTTGGGTGAAGTTTGTGAAGGTCATCTATTATCCTAGTGGGGACTTTATGGATGCCAGGAGGGGTCATTGACCTTCCTTGGCATGGTGCAACCTCCTTCATGGAAGAACTTTGCTTGATAAAGGCATTATATGGCAAATTAGAGATAGGAAAGAGGTTAGATTTTGGATTGATAAATGGGTCCCACTTTCTCCTTCCTTGACTGTTCAGTCTCCTAAACCCATTGATAGTAGGACTAATAAGGTGGCTAATGTTATTATTTTGGATCCTTGTAGATGGGATATTTCTGATTTGGTTGATGTTATTTCAAAGGTGGATTTATTTGCTATAAAATCTATTCCCCTTTCATTCAGAGGAGGAGCTGATAAACGTGTCTGGTGGC